GACTGCACCTGGTGATTTGGCGGGTTGCAGACGTACTGAGAGAGCAGCGGAAGACGGAAGCACTTGTAGACGTAGCACCAGAAACGTCGACTGACACGATCGAAGAGTCGAGTATGCTTTGAGTGGGTATACTAATAACCGAGTCAGCAACATTGAATGAGAATGGGAAGGAGGACCTACATGGCGCCCATCACTAAAGCCAAAGCCAAATAGATGTGGAGAGGGAATTTCCGGACAATTTTCCTCAATCCATGCGTACGCTCCCACTTCACAGCTGATCTTCTCGTCAACGCTGCCCGGGTACTCAGATTCTGCAAGCTTGTGTGGTAGCGGGCAGCGAAACACAGCCTTCCGCTGTTCGCCAGTCCCGGAAGTTACTTCAACGAAGACGCAAACATTGAAACTGCCACGAATCCATTGATCCGGCGGCAATACAATGCAGTTGGCTTGCCTTCCCACACCCATATGATGCACGACAAGTGCTGCGACCGTATCCCTAGCCTCCCAGATCTTTCGGTAGAGCTTATCAGTTGCAGGCCCATAGGAGACCCAGTTGATGACGTTTTTCTCCTCTTCAAGGGCGTCTTCCATCGTGATGTGGCCTCGTCCAAGAAGTTCAATTGTCGGAGGCATCGTTTGAGCTTTTGGGCTGATTCTCGTTGAAGTCGGCATTCGGAGCGGTCGGCGTTCGGATTGGCAAAAGGCGAAGACAATCATGTTGGGGCAAAAATCGTCCATCGTCAATCTCTCATCCACCAGCCAGAAGGTACGACTTGTGCTTACTAATTTTGGGTGGCTGTTTGGCACCTCTCACCGTTATGGAAGAAACGGCTAGTCCCTGCACAGGGGAAACGGACTTGCTGTTTTGAAACGCTGGAGTTATGCATACATTTACATTTGTGCATTCTGCCCCGCTCATCAGGACTCCCGGCTCAGGCGTAGCTCAGGCTAAAAGCAGCAAGGCTTCAACCCATGTCCAGTTCAGATCAGCGTTGGTAAAACCCATCTTCGGGGTTCCTTGGTTGCACCTGCCGCGCGCTGGATGGGCAAGATGGGGTAGGCAGGTACGTACCTTCACACAGAAACAGGCCGTCTCAGCTCAGTTCTCACGAAATCAAATGTCAGAAGTCTACCATGCGGCCTGCACCAGACCAGGCCAGACCAGACCAGACAAGGCCAGTGCTTCTGGCTTGCTGGGAGAGTGATCTCTGACGGAGCTGCATGTGCAGACGCCAGCAGTATTTTATGCTAGCCTGTCTTCAGATGCTGCAATGCATTGTCATGGACCTTACAAATCTCTGGGAGCCGTTGCTGTGCATCAAGCAGTGCTGTGGCATGTTGGTAATTTGGCAGGTTGGCGGCTCGGCAAGTCGAACAAGACTGATGGATGACAGGCCAAGACGGGTTACCTTCATGACAAGACCTGGCGATCAATGGAGCGACCGGTTTGCCGCCCCGAGCCATCCAAGGAGCGGCCTTCTGACCGGTTTGCGCCATCAGAACCGAAGTTCAAGACCAAGTCCTGAGGTGGGAGCAGGAGGCACGTTGTAAGAGGAGACCATTAACCGAAAGCAGACAACCGTTTGGCTTCATGAGACACAGTCCCAGATCACTACAGACTGGTTGCAACATGGGCTCAGACTTGCAAAGAGACAGGCGTGAGGCCCGAGCCTCAAGCGTCCGGATCATCGTACAGTACAGTACCATGTACTCACCGTCAGCTCCATGAGCCTTCCTTTCACCCACACACCACCATCCATCATCAGAAGCAGGCCGTCGAGACCCCCACTGCCAAAATAATCTCGCTGCAGATCCACTCACCCCTCCACCCTTCGCCCTCCACCACGCGCCATGCACCACCACCTCGCGAGCTCTCTGCCAGTCGGGAGGCACAACTAGGTCGAATCCACAGTCGAGCTGCTTGCTCCGCGAACGTCGTCGATGACAGGGGTTCAGAAGGGATTCCCCCCTCCCCCAAAAGCCCTCGTTCAGGCCCCATTCACGAGCCAACGGGCACCCTGTCTTGTTCGGTCATTGCTGGCCCACCAGCTTGATGCGCCGCACCCTTTCGCTGGCTTGCGCCGTCGGCTGCTGAACCAGGGCGCATCCACCACACTACAGCAGCAGCCCACAGGAGCCCACCCTGACCATCACCGGGTATCCGCGTTTCCCTTACCTGCCTGCCTACCCACCTTGGCCTTTTTAGCTACTGAGGTTCCATGCAATGCATCACCGCATCACCCCCAATTCCAGGCCCCTCTACTCTGCTCTGCCTCCGCTCAGGTGAAAGGGAAGGGGAAGATTGAAAGGGTTAAACCGGCAGGAAAGGCCGAAAACAATTGTCAGACTGTCTGTCATTCGTCCCGAGAGGGAAGAAAAAGAGAGAGAGAGAGAGCCTTCAGGTTCGAGAAAACCACCTGGATGAGGAAGAATTCGCTCCAGCAATACTTTCCGTCATCCCAGGCGTCGCATCCAGCCAGTCTTTCAAACGTCGGCAGCATGAGACCGACAGGCCAACCCCGAGTCAAGTCGAAGTCCCCCACATCCCAGCGTTCAACGTACGTCCAGCAGCATACAGGTACTTGCACCCACCGAGTCAGCAGTACCACCGGCCACTGAAGTGCCTTGGCCTAGGTTTCTTCCGGCACGGGAGCCACTAAGAACCACTCAGAGGTGACCAAAACCAAGCAGACGTGGGGAAAGTCCTTTTTGTGTGAATCCCGCCAGCCTACTCGGAACCTTTTCCCCTCAGGGTCGAAGACTGGCTTTCTCACTCTACTCTACATTGCCTCGCCCGTCCTTTTTTCTCCCTCCTCACCATCCTACCAGCACACACTGGAACCATGGTTGCGAGGTCCTCGATGTCAATCGCAAAATCGAGCGCTTTCGCTTCAATGAATCCCACCACAACAGAGCACGACTATCGCTTCCCCAGGAGGCCCCATCAGCCTGCCGCTCACATGCCTGCCACCGCCGACAACGGCCAAGGCCTACACACCCATGCTCGTGGTGGTCGAGGGGGCCACGGGCACGCCCACGCCCATGCCCACCCCAACGCACAAGGCCGCACCACCACCGCCCATGCACACGGCGCAGACTCATCGTCGTCCGCCTTCACGTCGCATTTGGGCGACCTCGATCTCGACCTCGACCTCAACCTCAACCTTGACACCGCTTCCAGCGCGCGACCCCAACAGACTTCGCACAACCAACTCCTCCAATCCTCTGCCTTTCCTCCTTTCGAGGACGCCGTCATGGGTGCTTCCGGCGACACGCCCGAGCTGCTCCAGCAGGAGGATCCTCTTGCGACGCAGGTGTGGAAGTTTTTCAGCAAGACGAAGCAGAGCTTACCAAACCAAGAGCGGATGGAGAATCTGACCTGGCGAATGATGGCTATGAACATGAAGAAGAAGCGGCAGGAGGAGGAAGCATCCAGGTATGTCGACATGCTGCGTCGAAGTCGCGCTGACGTGCGCATTCGACATAGCACCCTGTCGTGCTGGTTCGAAAAGAATGCTAACCACTTCTTCTTCCCCCAGGGTTGTGCGCCAGTCTGCGACGGCGAACAACGCAGTTTCAAGCCACGGCAACGCACCGAGTGGAATTGCCCAATTGCGGAAAACGTCCGAGCAGAACTTGAACAACCCTGAGCCGATGAACCTCGATGACTTTATCTTCTCCGAGAATATGGCGACGCCGGTCGATTTCTCATCCCCACAACTTCAGCCACCTGCCCCGCCGCCGCCTCGACACTCTCATGAGTCTAGGTCTGCCGCACCAGGTCAACCGCATTCTCTGCTCACCTCTGCCATCAACATCAAAACCCGCAAGGACGCCGCTGCGCACCAGCAATTTGTCCCTCAGTCGGTGCCCTTCCCTCCCCATCACCAAAGGGCCCAGGATGAGTTCAATTACGTCCCTCGGCACACACGTAAAACGAGCATCGATGAACGACGCGTGAGTGTTTGACCTCTTTCTTTGTTACGTTGTGTCAGGTTCGGAAATGCGGCGGAGTTTCGGAGCTGGTTCGGGCTACTTCCTGTTCCAGCTTCTTCCTGGGCCCCCCTTTCCATCGTCTTGTATTCGTTGTACGCAGAACGCGAGCTGACAATATTCGTAGACACGGAAGCGCCCCGCAAACTTCTCTCCTCAGGTGCCTGCTGTTAACAGTAACGTCGACGGCCTTACCACCAATATTCGCGCCGATTCTGAGCTTCATGAGTATTCTCTGGACACCGCAGGCCAACCTGGAATGCCGCAGGGCCCTAACCAACAGGGCAACCCTTTCCACCTCGATGGCCTATCCATGGATACTGATAACATCATCACCTCTGCTGGGCCTTTCCAGCAAAACTTTAGCTTCTCACCATCCACCTCTCCCATGGTCTCGCACAACCACTTCTCCAACATGTATGGTGGCTCATCTGTGCCCTCTTCATCTCTCAACGCGGCGGACTTTTACTCGCCTCCGGGCTCCGCTTATCCGTCTGCCGTTTCTACTCCTCATCCTATCCCCGACAATGATAGCTTTTACTTTGGATCCTTGGATATGCGAACCCAAGGCCAGCAGTCCTTCCGATCTGGGGCTCCCCAAGGGGTGAGCAACCAAATGGGCTCACAATTCATGTACAACGGCGCACCCAACAACAGCTCCATGTTCCCCGTCTCTACTGCCGGACCTGATCCCCCGAGCGCCTTCAGCACCAATGGCCCCAACTCGTTCGCGCATATCGACCCCACACAGGTCTTCCAGGGAGATCAATCTGGCCGATCTCCTGGAGTGTCTATCCCGAATGAGAACATGTTCTCGTTCGGTGCGGATTCTGATGACGAGGATGGCGGTGCATTCGCCGACAGAAACCTGTCGATGCCTAGTGACTTTTCGCCTTCAGCAATGGATGACACCCACTCGCTCGGCTGGGATCCATCCCTGCCTGGCCAGTACAGCACCCAGGCTGCTCGATACCCCGGCGGACCGCCCCGCAAGCAAGTCACCATTGGTGGCACCACCACTGACTACGTCGACAACACAAGCGGTGATTGGGACGGCGGTAACATTTCACGATCCCATTCGCAATCTTTCAAACAGGGGGGACTAGACAGGCGCGGCGGAAAGGTCCCGCGCATTGCCTCGACCCCCGCCACTCATCTCGCTCGCAACGGTAATCCTTTCGATCGCATGGCACAATCAACCCCCAATTCTCCTCCTGAGGCTCCTGGTACGAGGTCTGGCTTCTCGTCCGTTGCCCCAAGCCGACCTTCATCACCCCTTGGTTCAAAGCAAGGATCCTCAACCAACCTGCAGGGAGCCGGAAGCAACGGGGACAGCAGCGCGCCGACCACATGTACCAATTGTTTCACTCAAACGACCCCTCTGTGGCGTCGCAACCCTGAGGGACAGCCACTCTGTAACGCCTGCGGTCTTTTCTTGAAGCTTCACGGCGTTGTACGACCACTCAGCTTGAAGACGGATGTCATCAAGAAAAGAAACCGTGGGTCTGGTGCCAGTCTCCCCGTGGGTGGTACCAGCACGCGATCCAAAAAGAGCACGGCCTCCGGCCCCGTCTCGCGAAAGAACTCGACTTTGGCTATATCATCTATCCCAGGGAATTCGCAGGTTACGACCCCACCTGCCGTGGTTCGCGCGGGAAGCGTGAATAATGAGGGCGAAAGCCCGGCGAGCGGGCCTGCTTCTGGTGGGAACACGGCCGGCAGCACACCTACTACTTTTGGTGCTGGTTCCTCCGTAGGTGCTGTTGGCGGGAAGGGCGTCATTCCTATCGCTGCAGCACCACCCAAGAACACTCCGGGCCCCGGTGCGGCGTCGATGCCTCGCAACGGTGCTTCATCATCCGGCTCCTCCAAACGCCAACGTCGCCACAGCAAGAGCACAGGCAGCGACGGACTTGCCAGCATGGACGTCGACAGCCCAGAGACTTCGACTGGTTCTCCCAACGAAGCTGCACGGTCAGTCCCATCGGCTAGTCCTCTGAACACGATGTCCGCAGCTGGCTCGCTGGGAATGGCCAGTAGTTTTGGTATGACCCAACGACCGCTAATGGGTCACGGTGGCATGTTAGGCATGTCAGGCGCCAGTGGCCAAGGCCCCATGATGAACCCTGGAGGCCCCGCATCAGGACCTCAAGAGTGGGAATGGCTGACGATGAGTCTCTGAGCGGTTCGCGTGCCTTGTGGACTCGCTCTCGCCTTGTCCCTGTGACGAGGGAGAGTTTGAGGTGTTTTTACGCGACAACGATGAGGATTTTGTATTTCTGCTTAATATGATGATATGGGACGGGAGCCGGGCTCCAAATCACTGGGAACAAGACATACAGAGTAGGTAATGCGGTGGGCGGATTTGTTCTGTCACAGGCTCTCGCCGACGCGGTGCTCAGCGGTGGGTGGAAGACGTGTGCGTGGCAGCTGGCGTTCGGACCCCCTGGTGTTACTGAGAGCTTGTCACAGTGGTCACCGGACGACGTAGGTTTTGCTTTTGAGCGGGCGGCTGGCATGTTTCCCCTGGGATTTTGGCGTTGTAACAGCCCTCTGTGGGCGTGATAGAGATGCGATTGAACGTTCTACATACATCGAGATACCTTTTCCCATCAACATGAAGCTCATTTTATAAAGTTTCTGGAATTTGTTTGATTGTGACTCTACTGTTGACTTGAAGGTTTTGCCGGCTGCGCGCTCTTCGGCGTCGATGCTAGTTCACCAGACTGTGCCAAACACCGCTGTACATGTAGCTGAACCTATAAACTAGGAATGAGTTTGGTCTTTTGGGCCATACGTTACGACCAACCCGAGCAGAGCCGTTCGTTCACTAAAGCATCGCCTCGAGTAGCGTGCGCTTCAGGGAGGCAATGCTCTTGCGTCATCACGGAAACATTACAGTCAACGCCGAGGACTGCAACATGAATACATCTCAAGCGAACAAGGCTGGGAAAAGATCATTTCATCCCTATCTCCCAAAAAAGCGGCCCGAAAGCCGACAACCCAACGCCGAACCCTTCTGAGGCTGGACGGAGAGCTGCCTGTGAGAGGTCCAAAAGCGCGTGGTGGATGCCACGAGCCCTGAACACTCCCAGCGCGGCGGCGAAGCTATGTATGACCTCGCTTTTGATCCGCACCTTGGCTCCCCCGTTCTACGGAGCGTTGAAAAAAGAATCATCCCGTGCGACCGTTTATTTCCGTTCCGGAGTCACACTCTGTACCTGCTTCGTGCGTTGAATCGTTTTCCAACAAGCCCCCGCCCTCCTTTCCTTTCGTCGATGCGCGAAACCCTCATGCCTTCATGACATTACCAAGACGTTCCTCGAGCCGTGATCGATAAGTTGGTGGGAGGCTGTTTAAGCGGCACCGGGGTTGGGGTTCATCTAGAGATTGAAGCGTTAGCCAGAGACAAGAACCGCAGGCGTCGTGCCGTGTTCCCTTCCCGGGGGGCTGCCGAGATCTCCTGCGTTCGGTTCATCTGGGCGTACCTTGCGCTTGCCACCAGTGAGCTGGACGTTCACGAAACGGCGGGTGTACGTGAGTCTCTTCTTCGCGCGGCCCTTGGGGACCTTCTTCTTCTCCTGCTTCTCGACCTTGGGGCTAGAAAAGGAAGATAAAAACCATGTTAGTCCGGCTGTTCTGCATTGCGTATTACATCTGATGCGTCCGTCTCCGTATCGCTCGTGTTGGCAAAGTCGGTACGGAGCATGTGCGGGTGATCGGGGCATCGTGCTCATCGAGGAAAGACGTACGTCTGAGACTTGACCTTGCCGGCACGGGCGAGGGATCCGTGAACCTATTCGCGAATCAGTCAGCGATTTGTGTCGTTTGTCTTGGTGGTTTCGGCCGTCGACGATGGCACAAAGGCACATCATGGCATCGTCTAGTATCATCGGGCTGAACGTACCTTGCCCATATTTGCGGTTTGTTAGTTTTGCTGTCGACTGAGCGTAACTGGGCGATGGGAGGGGGTGATGTCGAGAGTTGGGTGGATGGATAGACGTCCTTTCCGCAATCTTGGGAGGCACCTCCGATTTTTCGCCTGGGTTGCGCCTTTGGTTTGTGTGGGCGGCAACCCCGGTCACGTGTACAACTGTACGCGAGTGGAGTCCCGTTTTCGCCGCTCGAATCGCACGTTTCGGTGTGAGTCAGGCCGGATGACTAAAATCACCCCACTTGTTCAGTGATGAGCCGTTGATGCTTCAAGGCGTGTTGGATTGACGGCCGAGCCTAGGGCTTCTTCACTACTACATGTATATGCAATTGGAAGAAACCGGTCGCCCTCAGTTTCATGGTTGTGCATAGGGAACTTCACTTTCGAGCTCAAGTGGTGCAGGCGCCGTCAGTATCAGCATTCATCATTGACAACATGTGCTATTTTTCATCTCGCTCTGTTCCTGATCATTACAACAAAGTGGGCTGTACATTTCGAATGACCCATTCATTGGCATTCTATGGCAGCAGGCGCTTAGGTGTGCGGGGGTAGTAGCTGGCAAGGTGCACCGAAGGCAGGTTGAGGAACCATGCAACGACACGGTCGAGACCAATACCGCCTCCACCGTGAGGCGGGACACCAACGCTGCGGAAGACATCGACGTACTCCTTGATGCCCTGCGACTCGGGGTCGACACCCTTCGTCCTCAACCTGGCCTCCAGGACGCTGGGGATGTGAATACGCTGGCCACCACTGAGGATCTCCTGGCCGCGCATGAAGAAGTCGTAGGCGTTGGTGACGGCGGGGTTGGCGGGGTCCTCGAGAGCGTAGAAGGGGCGCGCCGATTCGGGGAACTTGTCGAGGACGAAGAAGTCGGTGTTGTACTTTTTGCGAATGAGGGCGCCGAGAGCCTTCTCCTGCGGCGTCGACATGTCCTCATTGTCAGAGACGTTGCGGTACTCCTCAGGGCCCTCCTCGCGCAGGAGCTTTTGGCCCTCGGCAAAGGTGAGACGGAGGACGCCCTCACCGGGAGCGGGCAGAAGGAAGTCCTCCGAGGGATACACGGCACGGATGATCTCAATCTGCTCGGCGCAGCGCTCCTTGATGCCGCGGAAGATATGCAAGAGAACCTTCTCGAGCATTTCCATGACTTCGTGGTAGTCCTCCTCGATCTCCATCTCCAGATCAAGGCCGGTGAACTCGGTCATGTGGCGGGGGGTGTTGGAGTTCTAGAGACATCAGTATGAGCCTGGATACCGCATTAGCGTACAGCTTACCTCCGCGCGGAAGACTGGTCCGATGCAGTAAACTCGCTTGCGACCACCAGCAATTTCAATCTGCTTGTAGAACTGGGGTGATTGGGCCAGATAGGCGGTCTTCTCAAAGTAAGGCATGGCGAAGACGTTGGCACCGCCCTCGGAAGCGGCTCCGATAAGGCAAGGAGGCTCGAACTGCACAAAGTTCTGGGTGTCGAGGTACTCGGCGAACAGCTTGCGCGTGGCCATGCGCACATCGGCGATGGCCTGCTGGACAGGGGCGCGCTTGTGCATGGCAGGGTTGCTCAGGTGCGTCGCCATGCTGGCACTCGGCGTGGCGTCGAGGCTGACGTTCTCGACACCTTGCTTGACAGCCTCAACCGACTTCTCCGCCTCGGCCTTAGCGGCCGTCACTGAAGGGTCTTCGTCCTCGAAGCTGGACACGGCACGGTTCGCAACGGGAAGGCTCATGCCGAGAGCCTCGGGGCCAGGCGCGAGGATGTAGCACTTGGTGATGTGGAGCTCAAAGTTGCTAACCTTGCAGCTCTTGACCGGGTCAAGGGGCTTCTGGATAACAGCCTCGACCAGGATAAAAGACTCGAGAGCGAGACCGCCCATCCACTTTACCATCTGTCGCGAAACAGGCTTGCCCTCGGAGCTGGCGGCCAGAACGCCCTGAACGGCCCAGTTGCGCTCCTCGCGCAGCTCGATGAAGCACATCTTGGCGCCCTGCATGCGCGAGTTCTGGATCCAGCCGCGCACCTTGACGCTCTTGCCAATGTGTTCCTCAGTGATGTCCTTCAGGTGCACGCGCTCCGCATCGACCTTGGTCGTCGCTGTCACGTCGCCGTAGTTCTCCTTGGCCAGGTCCTCGCCGCTGGCGCCGCCCGCCGGCCGCCTTCTGTGCGGCCTCGGCGGCCTCACGCTCGGCAGCACGGCGGGCCTTCTCGGCCTCCTTCTTTGCCTTGGCCTCGGCCTTCTTGGCACCCTTCTTCGACTGCTTCTCTCCGCCCTCCTCACCGGCAGGGGCGGGGGGGTCATTGGCGGGAGGGGCCTGCGCGGGCTCGGCGGCGGGTGCGTCAGCCATGTTTGTGAAAGTAGAGCTCGGACACTAGTGTTCTTATGTATTTGATGGATGAGGAATGTCGGATTGAGTCCACTGTGACGGATTGGCGCTGTTTTATGATGAATGGGCTGACGACAACTCGACTTTCTTCGGCGATGATTCAAAATTCCATGGCGGGGTGATTCACATCAATGACCCCGCGGACAGTGGTGGGTCGCAGAGCCACCAACCCTATCGTTATCTGAGCTGTTATCTGATAAGAGCTTAAGTTCGACCCTCGTCATCTGCGTGCACTTCACCCTCACTGCAATATGAAGCTACGAAGGCAGGTGGGGAGGTGTAAGGTTATCACATCTAGTACAACCTGTAAACATGAGGCCACGTTGATTTCACCCAGGAGGTGTAGTTTTGAAAAATTGTATTAATTCGTACGTGATTACTGGCAGCACGAACATGCTCTCAAGACGCCGGCTCTCCCCCTAACAAGCGATGATCATTCAGGTGCCCCAAACGCCAAACGATACCAACCGCAGCATGCAAATGACAACAAAGCCAAGTGGTACAGATAGTACAGAGTCGCGCATCTACCAGATGCGCGAGCCTGCCGATATCTGAACCTTGGATTCCCAGCTCTCCTCCATCTCCTGCATATCCCTTCACCTCCTTTCGGTTAGTAGGAGCGAGGCTGTAACATCTCTGCATTCTCGCAAGTAAAGAGATTGATGTGATGATCGCCTCTAGCAGCAGTGCCCAAAATGGGTCTGTGAGGATGGAAAGCCGTAGCGGAGATGGGAAGGCCTCGATTTTGTTGGAGGAAACTGGAGTACGGCTCCATCTCAGATAGCTCTTGACCGTCAAAGTTGAAGACCTGGACACGTCGGGCTGATGTGCCGCTGTGACTCGACGTTAGTAGGGAACCAGAAGAAATTGTGAGAGACTTACACAGCAAACACGGGCAAATGCTCATGAGTACTGGCCGTGCGCACAGTATCTCGTGGGTCCTTCGTCGTTTGGAATGTGTGAAGGGGCTTGTCCATGCGTATGTCCCATAGCTTTACCTTGCCGTTGCGGCTAGCGCTGATGAGCTCTCTCTGGCCTCCACGTTGCATGTGGACACTCTTGATCCATTGCCTGTCCGTGTCGTCCTTCCACTTCTTCACCATCGACTCTTGGACCTTGAGACGGGTATCAAATACGCGGACCGCGCCATCACCGAATCCGGCCACAAGTGTTGTGCCAGTCATTTGATCAGACGTCAGGGAGGTGACACACGAGCCGGATCTGGCAGGTATGTCCATGACACACGTCTCTGAGGCCGCCGACCACACTCGAATGACGCGAACATCACCAGCTACCAGCACGTGACCAGTCGCCTGTTGCCAGTCAAACACCATGCCTGAGTTTACAGTACTGGGTACCATGTGCGTAAGGGCGCGCCAGGACGACGCCAGTTCGACCTGCTCGTCTGAATCGTAATTTCGGTACACTCTGATGACACCATCAGAGGATCCCGTCATGAGGAAACCTTGATCATCCTCATTAATGAACTTCATGTCGCTGATCTTGGAGCCCTCGGGGTTGCCGTTGGAGAACTTGCTGAGACGTGACTGCTTCTTCCAATCCCAGACATACACGGTGTTGCCGTTATCTGCCACCGCAAGCTGGTCTTCGAATTGATGGAAAGTCATCTTGGCAGGTTGGGCGCCATTATTGATCAGTCGAACCTGATTGTCCCACTTGTGGCTGCCGGCATATTGCTTCAGAGGCTGGGTGTCTTGGAGAATCGTCTCGTTGCGAGACCTTCTCCAAAGGCGCTCGTTGTACTCTGTACTTCCTGGCTCATCTGACTCACTCGGCTTCATTTGAGGCTCACGGAAGTATTCCACAGACCAATCTAGGAAGGTGCTGCGAAGAGGGAGCGACGGAACTTCCTTCATGCTGCGCTCTTCGTAGCCGCCGGATACGGGCTCGTTGGCTGTGTGGTATTTGGAGTAGTTGGTCTGATCGATCTGGTCTGGAGGAGCGGAAGCCAGCTCAGGCCCTCGGAACTTTTGAGAGGCACTCCGAGGGAGACCAGGCGAAGAAGGGACGGGGTTGCTTTGGTTCATGGTTCTTCCGGGCTCCATAGCTCCGTTCGCTCCAAACATACCGGTGAACAGGTAGCTCGCGGTCCTACGCAGGAGCCCTGGGGACGGCAGTGGAGCGTTTGTGGACGATGGTGATGCACCGAGAACGCCATGCCTATTATTAGCAGCGTGCTGGCTACTGGCAGAAGCGCGCTTTGCCCTTCTTCGAATGTCGTCCATCAATGCTTGGGCATGCTCACCGACAGGAGACGCGAGCAACGCGTTGTGCATGTAGTCAACAATGGTGGTAGCATCGCGCTGGACCTCAGGGTGAGGATCGACGTTGAGCATAAGAGCATGCTTCCAACAAGCGGCAAAGACAGTGTTGTGTGCAAATCCATGTGCTGAAGGCTTGATGGTTCCATCAACGTTGCGGTTCTCCTGCCTGGTGTAATGCAGACCCATCTTGTTCTCCAAGCCGTCGATTTCTGGCGGAAATAGAAGGTATTCCTTTTCTTCTTGGAGCTGCTCTACAGCAGCGACAATGAACTTGCTTTCGAAGCGAAGGATAAAGTGAGACAAGAAGACAAGGAACTCACGGCGAACCATTGGACTTCCGTCGTTCGCCATATCCAGTAGCGTCCAGGCGATGGATTCTTCGACCCGCGCAACCTCGTCCGTTAGATCGATGATGCCGATGAATGTGGTCATGGCATGCAACATTGCAGCCCTGACCTCGGGACAGCGGTCTTTGGTAAGAACGGAGAGCTGACTCGGGGCGTTCTCTCTGATGCCCCGCCACTTCGCCTCCGGGAGGTCATTCCACAGCTGGCTAAGGCAGAGACAAGCCCATTGCCGAAGTAGGGGGTTGTCCTGGTGCTGTAGATGGGCAAGACAGTATGTCATGATATCTGTCTGATTGCAGACATGTTGACCAGGCTTGTAGCCCCTGCACAGCATAGCAAGAATGAAGGCGCACATCGCCTTGTGCTCGTCGCTGTTCGAGACAGGAAGGGCTTCGGTAGGCTTCAGAATAGCGGCAAAATAGTTGTAGCCGTTATCCTTGATGAGATCCTGCTGGCAGGAGATGTCGACTGCGAGAATCCTGGTCCAAATGAAGACCATGACAGGCTTTAGCTCGGCTGCAGCCGACTGCAGCAGCTTCAGAACGTATGGGAAGATGCCGATGCTCAAGGCCAACTGCACTGACCAAGGGCCGAGATCGAGAAAGCTGCCCAAAAGGATCAATGCCCGAACCCTGTGTTGCTGGCTAAGCAAGACCTGCAGGACAACGGGCAGCTGCTCCGGGGGCTTCTGTGACATGGCATCACCTCTTGCGAGGTAAACCTCGAAGGCTGTCAACTGCTCTGTGAAAAATGTCGAGTTTTGATACTCGTATTCGATGCCATCGTTCTCTTTCTTTTGTAGCATGGGAAGCTGTGCCAGCGCCATGTCGACAGCAAGATCCCAACTTGCCCAGAGCGGGTGCTGCTTGGTATCCGGAAGCTCGGGGAATGACTGGGGATGGCAGCCGTAGACGGACATGACTCTCTGTGCGAGCAGGAAGTTCCTGAACAGAGCTGCTACCATGAGGTCTTGTCGGAAAAACTTCCTAAAAAGATGTCGAGGTAGGGTTGTCCATGCAATTGTATCCGTGATGGCTGTGAAGATCCAGTTCAACTCTCCTAGAGGCGTTCTACGCTCTTGGAGTCTACCCGGTAGCTTTTTCGCCTGCTCGGGTGTGCAGTTGGTCTTCAAGGGGTTTTGCAGCACAAAGAACCACAGAGCCATTTCGATTGGTGTTGTAAGGCAAGCCGTGAAGAGATCGGCAGGGAGGAGAGGATTGGTAGGTAGGTTTTCTTTGACACCGCAGGCAGCGAGGTGAATGTATGGCTGAAAAGCCGTCTTCTCGTAATTGGAGTCCCGAGCAGCCTGCTCATCTTCTTCTTGTTCGTGCTTCTCAACAAAGCGGTGGTAGTTGTTGAGGATATTGCCCGCTTCAGAGCAATCCCAAACGAAGATGGTCGGCGCCTGCAGCCAATGCTGCAGATCATACAACGAGACGGGGATGTACTGGGTGTAATTCTTATTAAAGACCCAGATCTCTCCGCTTGCGGTTGGTTTGGGTACGCCGTGTCCGTTGTAGTGGAGGAGAACTCGCTCATCTTTGGCGTTCCTCCGCAAGGACACACAGAACTTTTTGGTCTCTTCAACCGACGGATCCAGATATTGCTTGTACCGCGTCCGGATTGCGAGTGTTTCGTACTGGCTCTGGAGTTGTTTTCCTATGTTTTCCAAAGCCTTTTGGGGGGCAGGATGGTAAGGGTCCGTCCATGCCTCTAACTTGGCCCCGGGGTTCGTTCTCAGTTGGTCTGGCGGTTCCACCGATATGTTCAAACACACAGCAAGCGCAGCTGACACTGTTTTGAGTCGGTCGCGCATGCGCCAGTCCTGAAGTTCGTGAGACGACGCTTTTGGCTTACCCGTCGACTCGTGGCGCTTGTCGGTCCAGTACATGTACCAGTTCTATAAGGAAACGTTAACAAATGCGTCGTCTAGCGGCGAACCCCCCCTGGCCCAGTATGCATAGATATCTTTTTTGACACAGATCTCCATGGATTTGCCAGCTGCCGACGACAGCCGGCGGTGCGGACATCGGGGTAGGGGTGGATCAACACAGAAAAGCAGAAACCAAAGTCTACGACATGGTGAACCCTGCGTTACCATGGAACCTTGACAGCCATGCCTCGTTTGCGCCGCTCGCAACGCGCAAGTAATAATCGTACTTGCTTTCAGGAGCTCTCAGGCTTTGACAAGGACGCAGGATGTGTCCGTTGAGGTTGGCTGCCCGTGAGAGGCATGTAGAGAGGTTCAAACTTACGTTGGCCAGCTTGTCCATAAATTGCTGCGATTCGTAGAGCTCGTCGAAGCCATGCCTCGCGCCCCATTGCGGTATTTCCTCATCTGACTGGTCAGAATCGTTTGGTCGAACGCCAAACTCGCTCCTTGTACGGAGGAGCAGCGGTTTGGGCTGCTGTCGCCTCGGCTGTCCGTTGCTGCCTTGTCCAGGGTTGCGATGGTGCGCAAAGCCCCCAGGCCCCATATCCTGCTTGTGATTATCTCCGGGTGCACTTGACGGGCGCGCATCGGGAGTCTCGTGACCAGTGTGGGTATTAGATCGCTGATTGAGAGTCAAGGGTGATCTCGGTCGTTGCATCTTGCTCAGCTCCGGGCCGCCCAAATGGGTATGTATGCCGTTCGAACGCGGAGCTTGAGTCGCCATTGTCACATCCGCAGCACTTGTGGATAGGCCGTTGGCCTGGTAGTGATTCGGCGTGGGCTGTTGCCGTCGCTGCTGTTGTCGCGGCTGGTTTGAGGTCGAGGATGGCTTCGGGGTGTGCTGGTTCGGGGATCCGGCAAGAGCGCTGTTGCCTGTTGCGGCTCCCATGGCGATGCGCGGGGGCTTCTATCTGTGGTGTGCTGACTGAGCTGAGGTGGCAAGCGCCATCATCGTCCGCCTGGAGAATGCTTTTGAGCGGATGGGCGAGGGTCCGTCGTGGGGCGAATACAGGCTGTATGTGACCGAGTGTCGTTGAGCTTCAGGCGGCAGACGCGAATTTGGTCGCAGTAGAGTTGACCGGGTTCACCTGGGCAGGCTCAGCGTACTAGGCTGCTTCGGTTCAGCTTTCGGCATGGCAGTGCACCTCATTACTACCCCACAGCTATGTTTTGCTGCGTATATGGGATAACCGGTTATGCACTGACAGATACTCACGAAGCGTGTGCACAGCGCGATTCGGCATGGAGGTTCCATTCCAGTGATGGCAATCTGATCTTTACATTTTCGGGTCATTCGACACTGCGCAACTACCTGTTCGACCCGACTTGCTAATCCACTTGAAGCGCGATCCTCAAATCCCTAGCATCATGCTTCTCAATTCAACAGAACAGATCAACACCATGCAGGAGATGTCATGACCAACGGCCTCCGTGTGATTTGCTGGGTCGTCGCGAGACAGCACTGCTGCGTACCTTACCTCAAGTACCTAGGTACCTAAGGCAGGTGAGGTAAAAAGCTCCCAAGATGGAAGCATATTCGCTGAGCATCTCTGGATCCAGCACCTTACCTGCAGCTGAGTAGGTAGCTTTTCGAACGACGAACATCGTCCCAAGGTCCCGAGAACAACTGGTCTGCCGAGCCTGGTCCACGGACGGGGTTCATATAGATGCCGAACCTGCTTCATTGTAGGTCTTCTGGCTTAGCCGCTAGAAGGCTACCAGCGAAAGTGTCAAATGAGTGGAACAAGATGGCGTTGGTCACGGCAGTTGAGCTGTCTTGCATGGTAAACAACATGCAAACAGGAGAAACGCGTTTCCATGACACACTCCAAGAGCCCAGAGCCGAATGCCATAATCAGTGATGAATACCTTAGATAAAGGTACCAGGCATCACGGACGATGAGCGGGCAGAGCGGGCAACGGGCCCCGCTGGCCTGGGTCCGCAGATTGTAACCCTTCCCCCCATACAAAAAGAAGATGAAACGCACCACCTCGTGGCAGACGGGTTCCGATGCAACCATGTTGGTGGGCTTTGACACGATCGATCAAAATGGTTGGTCACATAGCGCTTTTAGTCAATAATGTCGTCTCGTTTCCCCATCTTTCTTTCTCCCTCGCTCATATCATGTCGGCAGCAGTCAAGCAATTCAAGCCAGCACGCTTTCTTTTTGTCCCGGAGCTTGGGACATGCTTCTTTTTTTATCACTATTTTTCCTTTGGCCCTCCACCGACGGTGAATTAGTTTCCCCTCTCCTGTGCCAGTCTCCTGCACCTAGTCTCCTGCGCATTGGTGGGTCATGCCGCGCGCGCAGTTCCCTTACTACTTTTAGGTACGATACCAATGCTGCTGGCCAGCGTACCTGCATGCAGTCTACAGGGGGTGTCGGCAAGGCGCTTTCTCATTCCCTCACCTGAAGATGATGAAATGGGGGGCGGCCCGGCTTCGTGTCCAGAGAGTCCACTGATGGATGTTCTGGAAATTGACATTCAGGCGAGGCGGAGGATCCAGGGGACCTGCCATCGTCCAGGGTCAGACGAACCGACAGACATTGATGCCGTCAAGGATCTTTTCTTCTCGGCAAAGACAGGTCTCAAATGGAACAGAACAGGCGACAAAGAAACAATGATGACCTGTTGGGAAACGGAGGCACGAGTCATCCGTCTGCAAATCTCTATCTCTCGCTCTCTGTCTCTCTCCCCTTTGCCAAGTAGTACCAGGGCAAGCTGTTGACAGAAAATCTGGCACTCTTAAAATCCTTCACCTAACAACACCACTACAACCACCAAAAGGACCGATTTTCCACACCATAATACAGCTACAAATCTAGGATCCTAGGGGCTGCCACCTTTGTGGATAAATCCAGAACATGTTGATCACTGGATTGATTCAATGCCGCAACGGATGAGGGATGTGGTAGCTATGGAGGGTCGAATGACTAGTTGCTAGATATGAGTGCCCGATTTTTAGAGTGCCAGATTTTCTGTCAAGAGCTTGCAGGGCCGCCTGCTCTGAGCTGATCGTCGCCCTGCGAATGGGCCATGCACCAAGCCGTGACAGGTGACCCGCGGTGACCCGCGGTTGGGCCCCTATTTACTTTGCTGTACGATGTACGCTGGGAAATCACCTCAAAGATGCGCGCGACTCAAAATATGTTCGTCGAGTCGCGCGCGGCGCATTGACACCCCCCTTGTGATATCACCCAGCATTATCAACTTGCCGTGTCCTCGTCAGGCACCGAGATGACGATCGAGGATGGCAACGTCACCCTAACGTGGAATGTCATTTTGCTCATCGCTATTCATCGGAGACCCATTGTAACATCTGTCGGCATCTTCGTTGAGTTTGCTGGGCGTGTGCCTCGTGTGGCCTTTACGCCTCACCCTCCATCCGTCAGCCCCTGAAGCCGGAGACCTGCATAAGGGACGGGAATCCACGATGAGTGGATGGGAGGGAGCAGGACATGTCAAAGACTTGCAAGACTGTTAGGGTGCATGTGACAGCTTTGGTACCCCTTGAGTACCTACTGCTGCCAGCCCCCCCGCGACGCCCCCCCCCCCCCCCCCTTCGCACGCAGCCCACTTCAGAGGTGCAGAACAGGCGCCAACTTGGTGGCTTGGAGGGTGGTCCACTGCGGTACCCTGTTCCCCCTAAAAATGTTTCTGCTTGGCAGTCGACCCATCAGCTGGTGTCACAAACGGCTCTCATTGGCCGTGACGCCTGTGTGAACGGCCCGGCAGCGTTGCAGCACAGCGCATCTCAGTGCCTTGCCTTAGGTATCTCGCCCCCAGGAAATGGAGGAAATGGGACCAGGCACGGCAGGCCATCAGCCAGTAGCCAGTGGACCAGCACACAGCACCCACCCCCCCGAAACTGGCAAGGAGCCTCGAAGTGCACCAAGACAAGTCCCCCCCAGCCGTCCGTCCACCCATCCTCACCTCCCAATTTTTGTCAAGCCTGCGTCGACATCATCAGGTTCCCAACCACGACAAGAAGGTTGACCGAAGGCGCGACGGCCTGTTGATGAAGTCTCGCATCTGTATCTCGACTCTCCGCATAATTCTAGTATCCTCCTGACGACTTTGACGATACTGCGACGCCTTGGGCTCACAAGTCGCGCGACGAACAAGCAGCCCCTTACCCAGCCCCCGTAATCCGCCAACCGACCCAACATTCTTTCCGCCAACCCCCTCTTCAACCCTTCGACGGCCGACGCACCGAGGAAAAAAAAAAGACGAGGTCGAACATCGCGAACTGTTCCCTGCCCTGACCATCGATGCGAACCCAGCCACCTGCAAACTCGAGTCCCGACTCCATTCGGCGTTCCTGCATCAGCATTGCTCCCGATCCCGCTTCCACCTCCACAGCCGACTAGCACCTTCCCCCCCTCAGGCGACGAGCGCGAGCTTCCAGCTGCTTCCACCCCCCGGACGACAACGACCTGCACTCTGTCGCCCGAGCGCCAGTCTTGTCGTTACACCACCCGAACACAGAGCAAACATCATCAACTTCACTGTCACTGAGTGGTTGCGCACCCACAGCTTGTCCTCGGTCGTTGCCTCGTCGCTTGTGCGTGGTTAGCCTGTCATCATGGCGTTCCTGTTCAAGTCGAAGAAGAACCAGGACCGGGCTCTCGCCAGTCGCGATGGCACCTCGGGGTCCCAGGGCTCGATTCAGAGCGCCAGCGCCAGAGTGGCCAAGGACGAAAAGGCTGCCGCACAACGATCGACCCCAACCGGCAGCATGAACTCGTTCGGCGAGGAGGGCAGCGTAGGAAGCCCAGACCAAGCACTCGGCCGCCAACGAGGGCCCAGTGTCGACCAGGCGCCGTCTGCGCCCAGCGATTTGCCGGTGAGTTTCCCCATGGGCACATGATTTTCTTCACACAATTTTCGCATTGTGTCGGGCATCTTGGACAGCATCGTGTGTACTAATCCTTGACTGCGCAGTTTCGCAACAGTCCACAGATGCAGTCGCAGCCTCAGCAGCAACCCCTGCAACAGACGCAACAGCCACCACCACAACAGCAGAACCCAAACTCTGCCCTGTACCCTTGGTCGCAACGACGCCTGACATATACATCTGCACACCCTCCTCCTTTCCCGAGGTATGGCGCCGCTGTCAACTCGGTGGCGTCGAAGGAGGGCGACATCTACTTGATGGGCGGGCTGATCAACAGTTCGACGGTCAAGGGAGATTTGTGGATGATCGAGGCCGGCCAGACCATGGCTTGCTATCCCCTGGCAACGACAGCCGAAGGCCCTGGTCCTCGTGTCGGTCACTCGAGTCTTCTTGTTGGTAACGCATTCATTGTTTACGGAGGAGATACCAAGGTGGAGGAAACCGACGTCCTCGACGAGACCCTGTACCTGCTCAATACTTGTAAGCTTCCCACAGCCTGTTGACTCGCCCGTTGTGCGCCGCTTTGTACTGACAACAGATTAGCCACAAGACAATGGTCACGAGCTCTGCCTTCAGGGCCCCGCCCCTCAGGACGTTACGGTCACTCGCTCAATATCCTTGGTTCCAAGATCTACGTCTTTGGTGGACAGGTTGAGGGTTACTTCATGAACGACCTGTCTGCTTTCGATCTCAACCAGTTACAGATGCCCAACAACCGATGGGAACTGCTCATCCAGAACAGCGACAGCGGAGGCCCTCCTCCCGGCCAGGTCCCTCCTGCGCGAACGAACCACTCGGTAATAACTTACAACGACAAGATGTACCTGTAAGTCGCCCAGCGGCCGTGAAGAGAGAAATAAGACTGATCATTACTTAGCTTTGGCGGCACCAACGGCTACCAGTGGTTTAACGACGTCTGGTGTTATGATCCCGCACTCAATGAGTGGTCACAGATGGATTGCATAGGATATATCCCCGTCCCGCGCGAGGGGCACGCCGCTACCGTCGTTGACGATGTCATGTACATCTTTGGAGGCCGGACGGAAGAGGGAGCTGACCTCGGCGATCTGGCTGCCTTCAGGATAACCTCGCGCCGATGGTACACCTTTCAAAACATGGGGCCGTCGCCATCGCCGCGATCCGGCCACAGCATGACCACCGTTGGGAAGCAGGTTGTGGTTGTTGGTGGAGAACCGAGTTCTGCCCCTGTCAATGCTGGCGACCTTGGCATTGTCTACACACTGGACACGACCAAGATTAGATACCCAAATGATGCTCAGGCACAACAGCAGCAACAACTGCAGCAACAGCAACAGAACGCGCAAAAGGGCATGCAAGCCAGGAGACCCAGCGGTGCCGCCGAAACAAATCCAACCCGCCAAATGGCATCCAGAGATGGGTCGCAGGGGCCTCCCGAGCTCCGGAGACCTGCTGGGGGCCCTCAAAATCCTAACGGGATCAGCAGCCCTCCGAACGGCTTCCGCGCCGGGCCAGGCACACCCGAGGTCAATGGCTCGGTTGTCGCAGGTGTGGCAGCAGCTTCGAGACTACCTCGCGGCGCTGGGCCGTCGCCTCCCGCCGGTCCTCCACCGCAAGGCCCCACGCCAGCCAAGCCCACTGTGCAGACTTCGAACCTAATCAGGAGTCGTGGCCCCTCGACGGAGCGTGAAGCCACAAACTCTTCTCCTCAGATCGGCTCAACGCGACAATCACCCGTGACTCGAGACGTGGCAAAGGAGGTTGAATCGCCAATCGTCAATGGAAGGCGGACACCCACACAACAAGTCGTGCGAACAGGCTCAAAGTCGGAGCCCACTCCTGCAGAGCTTATCAAGTCAAGGTCTCGGCAGGGCAACCGATCTCAAGGGTCTGTCGACAGCACGGCCGAGCCCAGTATGAAGCCAGTCCAACAGCAGGTGCAGCAAACACAAACTCAGGCGCAACCAGTTCAGCAAGCGCCTCGAGCCGCCTCGCCCCCTCCACCGACCCGCCAACCAAGCAACCCTCTGTCTCGAAGGTCATCAGGACGAAACTCGCAGACCGTCGTCTTGCTCAAGGAGCTCGACTCTTCGCGTAACCGGAACGCCTGGTACGCATCTGAGCTGGAGCTCGCCCGCAAGGCCGGCTACGTGCCCAACGCAACGCTCAGTCCTGTCCTGGATAGCCGGGCTACGGAAACGTTCGATGACGAAGACAAGCCGTTGATTGAGGCTTTGTTGGCAATGCGCACCGAGCTTGCAAGCGTCCAAAGCGCCGTTGACAAACAGGCGATCCTCGCGGCCAAGCAGATTGCCGAGGCCGAAAAGCAGCGTGACGCTGCCATTCAAGAAGCTGTATACTCACGCGCCAAGCTCGCTGCGCACATGGGCGGCAGCACGGCCAGCACCCCACAGCTCGATTCGGATCGCGATGCCGATGACCGTTCAAACGAGATCAGCAAGAAGCTTGCTGCCGCTCTCAACTACCAGAAGAGCCTGCAGGCCCAACTGGAGACCATGAAGACCGAACTCGAGGCCGAGAAACGGGCTCGCCAGCTAGCCGATGATACTGCCAACGCTTCCCAGAAGCGCATGGCCGAGCTGGAGACGTACAAGACGATGAACTCGCCCGAGTTGGAGCGTCTCAAAGCTGAACTGCACATGATTCAGCGCGAGGCGCGCGAGCAATCCGTTAAGTTTGCCGAGGTCACAGCAGCGATGCAACTCTTGCAAGTGGAGAAGGATGAGTTCCAAACCAAGTACACGGACTCCATCGGCAACTCCAAGGAGCAAAACCAAACATTTGACTCGCTGCGAGAGGCTGTGGCTGCTTCTGCCGAAATGAAACTGCTCCTCGAACGTAAGCTGGACGAGGAACGTACGCTGCGGGAGAAGATTGACGGCAAATTCACCAAGCTCAAGGCTGAACACGAGGCTCGCACGGCTGAGCTGGTGGCTGTCACACAACGTCTCCGCGATGCCGAGGAGATCTCGGAGAAACATGCCCAAGAAGCAAGGACTCACCGCCAGGCTGTGATGGCTGGATTTGAGAAGCTTTCTACACGGGATGTCGGCGGTGGAAGCAAGGCAGACTCAGATCGCCTCGCGGCTCTCCAGGGCCAGCTTGCCGCGTCCAATGCACTGGTCAAGAAGTATCAACAGGAGGCAGCCATGGCAGCTGATAAACTTTCGCTCCGCCCGAAGGAGCGTATTGCAGGGCCTTGAGGTTTACCAAGAGCAGTCCAGCCGCGAGGGCGTGGCTATTCGTCTACAGCTCCAGGCTGCCCTCCGTGACACTCAGTCCCTACAGGCTCTCAACTCGGACCTCAAACACCAGCTTCAGAACCAACAGCTCGAGACCAACGCCATGAGCGTCCAGCACAACACTCTGAAGGACATTTTGATCGAACGCGGGATCAGCCCGAATGGCATGCCACGCTCCCGCAGTGTGGGCAGTCCCCGTGGGAACTCGCCTGAACAAGCCCGAATCCGCGAGCTGGAAGATCAGCTTCATGCGGCGGCATCGAACCACGAGGACAACACGCAACGCAATGCCAGCCATCTGGAAGCAACCGAGAATGCGTACCGGGAGAAGTTGTCGCAGCTTGAAAACGACTACCAGTCGGCCGTCCACTACGTCAAGGGCACGGAGAAGATGCTCAAGCAGCTTAAGGAGCAGCTTGCTCGCTACAAGACTGAAAACGCGCGTCTCAAATCGGAAGTTGAAGATCTTGAGGATCGGGTTCAAGCTGCGCCTTCCGACGCCGCACCTGCCGACTGGGAGACAGAGCGAGACGCGCTGCACCAGAAGATCAATTCGCTGCAGGAGGAGGTCCGCGTGTCTGGAGCTCAACTGGAACAGCAGCTCATGGCTGTCAAGAAGGAGCTCGAGGAGGCACGCACGCAGCGAGACACGGCCCTCGAGAGCAGTGAGGAGACGTCGCGAACCTTGACGACGAGTCGTCGTGATCTTGAGCAGTTGCAGCAAGAAAATTCTCTCCTAGAGCGTCGTGCACAAGATGCCGAGCAGAAGGTGTCTCTGCTACTTGACCAGGTGGAAACTTCGGTGGACAACTACCGACGCCGCAGCCGTCAAGCACCAAGCATGACCTCGGAGCTGACAATCTCGGGCCCGACAAACGGCGTCCCCAACCCAGGCCACACGCGCCAGGAGAGCTCCGATGCCGAGAGCGCCTATGGCGGCACCGTCCCAGGAGGGGAACGCAACAGCGGTGGCATTGACGCGCGCAATAGCACCGCCCTCGACAATCTTGCCACGGAGCTCGAGACGCTGCGCACGCATTGGGAGGCCACGAACAAGAACTACCGTCTCAGCAACACGTTCGACTTTGACACGGTTGCGGCGCCCGCTCGGCGCGACGATGAGGGTGGCATCGGGCTCAGCGAGAGTCTGGCCGACTGGCGCAAGCGGCTTGACGTCGAAGAAGGGGTCGGCGATGTCGGCGAGCCATCGAAGAGCAAGAGCCGACCGGAGCGACCCTAGACAGGCGTGCTCCGGCGAATGAACTCGCGCTTCTCGACCTGACCGCCGTCGTCGGGAGGCGCGAATGATGGGCGAGAAGGGGGGGGAGGGGGGGTTCTAGCCCCCGTGTACATTGGAAGCAACTGTTGCGCTGATGCCTGTCGCTTCTTCTACCACGATTCCACGTCTGAACCATGATCACGCACGCAACCCACGCACGAATCGCTCGCTCAACAGTTTTCTGCACTTTTTTTCGTATGCATTCAGCCGCAGGCCCGGTCCTCACACCTCACTCACTATGATGCTCTGAGAGCAAGGACTGACTGGCAGGGATTTGGGGCGATTTGTGACTCTCCCAGTCACCATCACAAGACTCAAGCAGGCGAGTGTGTCGGAGCTATCGGCCTGTTACCCTTTTTCCGTTTTGGAGGAAGGATGCAAGGGCATCATCGATGGTTTCATCTTTTTCTTCTTGTTTCTTCGCCCTCGTTTTATGCGTTTCTTGGTTTTCATTTCCATTGCTTTCTCGCGCGGGCTTTTTTTGTTGTCCTCGTATGTCAAAAAGATAATGTACAATACCTTATGGCTGTGCTCCCCTACCTCGGCTGGAGCTGAGGTGAAGTGTGCAGTCTGGTCTGTTGACTGGAAACACGAGGAGATGGTTGGGGAGGGGGCGGCGGTGGAGGTGTGCAAGGCCCCTGGTTGTCCGGATGTGGTCTGTCTACGAACATCGGGTCAAGCCTTTCTTTGCAGAGGCTCATTTCTTTGCAGAGGCTCGTTGACGGGGAGGGTGATGGCCGGCAGCGATGATCTAGGGTTGTAGAGCCAGGCAAGACGGAGGGGAACAATGATGAGATGATTTTCTGTGCCCATGAACGTTCGAGGCAGCGAAAACCGGGGAATGACGAGGTTCTTCTTGTGACTCTAGACCACCGACCGCTGAAAGACAGGAGAGCATGCACAAGCATCGGATCTCCAATCTAAGGAGACGGAGGAGGGAGAAGGCATGGCACATGATGGTTGGGTTGAAGAAAGCACGTCAGCATGTCAGCGCTGGTGACCTAGCAATCTCCTGACACGCAACCACCCTACCACGGTACGCTACCTACCTGAACCTTATGGTGTTCCCCCCTTCCAGGTACCCTACCAGGTAGGCAGGTACCGAAGGTGTGCCTAAGGATGTAGCTCAATACCATGTTCCCAGCCGGGAGGATGGGCGGACAATAAGCCTTTGTTCCAAGCACCGAACAAGCTCAACCCCCGCTCGCTCCCTTTCCTAGACTGAACGAACGGCTTTTTCGGCAGGCCGCCTGTCCGCACTGGAGCTCAGGGGACTCAGACAATGCGGAAACGCAGCCAACGGGCGGCTTCACTGCGACTCAAAATGACGCATGCAGGTTCGCGGCGGAGAAGGGACGAACCCCCTCCCGCTAGGTGCTCGTCTTTCAAGCCAGCAATGACAAGACGTGTCCTGTTACACGAAGAGGGGGCTGCTGCTGGGGAAGGGGGCTTTTGAGCTTGCGACTCAAGGCGCCATGAGTCGTGAAAGGGGGGGTATCCAGCCAAATGCTTGGGTTTCGTTTCTTCCAGTTGTCGTGTCAGAGGGAGATCAAAACAACCTTAATGAGGTCTGGGCTGGTGTTTTAGCACGTGTCAAGCAACAGCGGCAGCAACAGCGCCAGTGGAGAGGTACTGGGTACCTGGGGCGCCGTAGCGACCTGCCCACCTTGCCCGCCTACCTAGGTACCTTACCTAGGTACCTACCTACCTAGGTAGACAGGTACCTTGGCAAGCTTGGGTAGCAGCCTGGGGCCTGGCAGAAAGAACCCACCACCTAGGGTAGGTACCTTACTGTACCTTACCTTGCTTACCTACAGTCGCTGCCTGCTGTCTGCTCAGTACCCCAGCGAGAAGGAGGAACGCAGAAGGAAGATCCATGGCAGGCAGGAGAGGTTCCTCAGAGGAGGAAGGAGGAAGGAGGCACGGACATGGATCCCGGAGATCACCAAGACCGCGAGGTCCGCAGTACGACCAAGCACTTGCCCAGGCACAAACAAACTCTCGCATTCTCTGCTTGAAACTTCGTGACTGTTCATCGTATAGGTATCCTGGCTCTTGAGATTCCCTCTCTCCTACGAATAAACCGTCTTCACTAGGTGCACAGGGCAGCAGCCACGTTCAAGGGTCTGTCTTGGCTGATTCCGCCGCCGTGTCTCCCTACCTTGAGTACCTAGGTACCTACCTTGGCCAGCTGGCCCACGTCAGTACCCTGGCTTCGCCCTGATTATTATTACCGTACCTCAACGCTACTTTCTGACGACACCTTTGTCCCGAACCCTGCCTCCGTTGCTCACCCACCTCAACCACCCGTCGAGGGTCAAGCCAGTCAAGCCAGGCACCGACACCACACGCCCTCTTCGCCATCTCCTCGCTTGCTTTCTGTCAAGCTACAACTGACTCTGTCGACCATACCGACGTCTACGACGCGCAATTGCACGACGACCCGTCGTCCCTCGACCCGGGCCCCGAGCCCTCCGGCGACGACGCCATGAACGCCATTGCGCAAAAGTGTCGGCCGAAACACCAGGTCCTCGTCCTCAAATGCTACCCACGCACCACAAAAGGCGATGTCGATGTCAAGCCCAATTCCAGCGAGCTCAGCTACCTGCTCTTCTATGCCACCTCGCGCCGATCCAAGATCCAAAAGATTGGGAGCTTCCTCGAGAAGAAGACGGCCAGTGACGTCTGGCGACTGCGCATCGGGTACGGCACACGCCCCTTTCCTGGCAACCCTGAACAACTGCATCGAACCAACTTGGACAGAGAGCAATATGCTAACCTCTGACGCGTAGCAATGTACAGGTAACCCTGCAGATCCTTGCGGCCCTCATCGAAAAGTCGCCTAAAGACCTCCCCCTGTTCGCCAGCAATGTTCTCAAGATTTTCGACCTCATCCTGGGGTCCAAGGACATCACCATGGCCAAGTCGTCCATCCCCACCTTTGAGGCCTTCTGCGAGAAACCACGACGTCTCCTCTTCCTTTGCCGACCAGGGCTACCTAGCTCAGTACGAGTCTGTGGTCCGCTCCTACGCGACCCTCGCCTCAACCCGCCAGACACCGGGCAAGGGCACACCGAGCCAGGCTGTCGTCATGAAGTGGAGGACTGTCGGGCTCGAGGCCATCAGGAGCGTGTGTTCCTCCGACCCGCTGTCCTCCGTCGCCGGACGGCAGCTCGCCGTCATTGTGCCCATCATTCTCGAGAACCTCTGGCACAATGACGACACGTTCCTAGATGTGCTGCTGTCGCGCGTGCAGTCGGAAGAAAAGTCGGACGCCGACAAGCCCATGCGCCGTAGAACGAGCGTCACAACTGTCAAAACGAGCGACACGGCCGGCGACACGAACCCCATCGCTCTCGTCGGCACCGCCCTCGACGTCGACAAGCTCGCCGAGGAGGACATTGGCGTTCTGGCCCTCCAGTGTCTCAAGCAGATTTACGTTGTTCCAAACCAGCCGCAGATCCACAGCGCAACGTCGTCGTTGCTCAAATTCGTCCTCGACAGGGTCGCCCAGAACGAGACGGTCATCGACGCTGGGGAGAAGCCTGGCAGCGAGCGTGGTTGGGCCATCCAGATTCTGGCGACGGTGGCACGCTGGGCCCCTGTGCAGGATCGATACATCATACTGGTCACGACCATGGACCACATCTCGCGGTTGCCCCTGACAGAGGAGAACCTGCAGCAGCACATTGTGCTGGCCATCATGGTCAGCTCTCTCCTGCAGTCCGATATCAACCTCATCGGCCTCAGTGTCATGGATGTCTTGATCGGCTTCATCCGCCACATGAAGAGGCTCATGCATCTGCCGGGACCCAGCGGTCTCCCCAGGACAGACAGTGAGAGGGAAGAGCAGCCACAGGCGGGGGGCGACACGACAGAGCAGCGCATGCAGCTCCTGGACCGCATTCAACAGTGCATTGGTGGTCTCGCGACCCACGTGTACTACGCCGACCAGATCTCCGACATGATCTCGGCCATCCTTCTCCGCCTACGACCCTCACGTTCGACAAGTACCAATTCGTCGCCGCCCGGCGAGAAGGCAGACCTTACAGTGAACGAGGACGCCGCAAGCAGTCACACGCAGCTCGAGTCATTCTTGTCACTTGGCGTCGGCAAGACAGCCGCCCTCAAGGCTATCAAGAGCATACTCCTCGTGGCGAACCCGCAGACCAAGATTACAGGCAACTTTAACCTCTCCCGAACCCGTGTTCCGATCCACGTATGGGAGGGCACGCAATGGCTATTGCGCGATCTCGACGGCCTTGTCCGCAAGGCCTACGTGGATGTCTTGGTCACCTGGCTAGAGCGCGAAACAACACTGAGCGACCTCAAGGCCAGAGACGAGAACTTGCGGCCTCACCACCGGTCTGCCGTGAGGAGCGGCCGCGAGCTGCAACCCGGGGGCACGGCTCAGCGCGCATCTTCCACCGCATCTCACCGCGAGAAGCCTCTAAAGCATCATCGATCGCACTTTTTGCAGCTGCTTCACCTTGCCATCTACGACAATGCGCTTCAGTTCATCGATCTTGAGTCTGACATTGTGCTTCTTCACATCCTTCTGACAAAGCTCGTCTTCAAGCTCGGCGTCAACGCCGTTCGATACGGGCTCTCCATGGTGTTTCGTCTGCAGGAAGACATTCTCGACATCGAGACGCCACTTCAAAAAGTACGGATCGGGTCACTCTGTCACGGATATTTCTGGGCCGTGACGGAAAAGTTTGACATTGAAACGTCCAGCGCCGGGCGCGCGATCCAGGACGAGATTATCCGGCGACGCAGCAAAAACTTTTGGGTGGGCAACATCAACGTGCCGACGCCGCCGGTCGACGTCGTTGGCACGCCTGGTGTCGCCCGGGCACAACCAGCCTTGTCCGTACAAGAATTGGAGAAGGAGGAGCTGATTCCCTTTGACGACAGGAGCCCTCTCGTCAGCAGCATTGCCGAGGGCTATGCTGACAGCATGGTCTCGCCTCCTAGCAGTCCCGCGGCGTCGCCCGGCCGCAGCTTCTCGCACCCCATCCTCGGCTCCGCCCTCAGCCATGTGCCGGCAGAACCCGACAATGAGCTCCCGCTCACTTTCAAAGAGCTCATGCTCACAGACTGGACCAGGGAAACGGCGCAGGTTGCCATTCAAGCGGCCAGCAAGTCTGAATCCCTGACCGGCTCCCGCACGGGGACGACGGCCACGGGACGGCATCGCCGTGCCATGAACGGGTTGGGCAACGGCCAAGGCTCTCCTCTGGGTAGCCACCACAACCTCCGCAACTCTTCGCCGCACGTGGCGGGCGCGGCAGGGCTGGCGCCGCTCAGCAAGATGCGCAAGAGCAGCGTGCGAAGCGGCGTGTCGGCCACACCGTCAGCCAACAACCGCGCCCCCGTCGCGTCCGTCGATCAGTTGAAGATGGTCATGTCAGGCCAGCTTCCGCCGACAGCCGTGAGCACGTCGGCGGGGCTGCGGAATCGCGACGATGATGACGACGGCAGCAGCGGAAGTGGCAGCGACAGCATGGTCAGCTATGATTACTCGCCGTCCGAGCTCAGCTTCAACCCGGCCACGCAGCAGTCAGACAACAGCGATGCCGCCCAGAGGCCGGGCTCCAACGGCCGTCGCAGCGGTGTGCGCAACTCGCTGCTGGCTCACACGTCGTCGTCCCTGCCGAATAGCGAGATGGACGGCGCCGACGAGGTGCCGCCGGTACCGCCGCTGCCAGACCTCCGGGGTCTCTCGAGCAAGATTGGCGATCTACACTTTGACCTGCCAGCGGGCGGCACCGTGCACGACCAAGTGACCAAGCCCGCGAAGCGCAACATCAGCACGCGGAGCAGCGACAGCAGGTACCAGTCGACGCTCCGAGGAGAGGAGCCGCCGATGGACCTGCGGGATCTCCTGCAGGGCATCGACAGCCGAGCAGGGGAACACAGCCTAGGGAATGTGACACGGCCGCCCTACTGAGTTGAGCCGTGGGTGTTCTGTTGGTACTGGGGGTGGTTTTGGGGAGCGGAGAGGTCGTGGGGTTGGTTTCTCAATAATGTCATGTGAGGTGATCATCTCGGGCTGGCCACGTAATGGAGCTGAGGCGGGGTCAATGTGGCATTGGGGCAATCTCTGTAGTTTTACGTGAAGCGTAGGGGGGGGGGCGGGCGTACGAGTAGTCTCTAGCGCGGTGTTTCGCGAGCGATAAAAGCTGCTTCACTTGTTGAAATGTCTATCATGGCTATTCTAGATGCTGTGTGTGTGTGTGTGTGTGTGTGTGTACATGGGTGACCAGGCTTAGAAGCCCGTGGCAGGGTGGTGATCACAAGGCAGGGAGCACTGCTCCATTCACAGCCTTGTGAGAGCCTGCAGATCAAGCTGCTCCCCCGGCGCCAGGTGTTCGCCCAGCGCCGTCTCGAAAAGGTGACACAGACGCACGAGGACGTCGGGCTCGCGCCGGCCGCGCCCGCGCCGCCACGCTTCGCGCACGTCGTACACGCGGTCGAGCTCCGCGGCGAGCACAGCGCGCGGCCACTCGTCCGTGATGGCGTGGTTGTTGCGCGCGTCGGGCTCGTCTCCGGACGCCGTCTTGCTGGTGGCGGGGCTGAAGCGCGGCGTCTTGTCCTCGCGGTCCCAGAGGAAGTCGCCCTCGCAGCAGAGGGCGTGTATGAGGGCGGCGTCGTGGCGGAAGGCAGATGATGAGGACGCAGAAGCAGACGAGGAAGAAGAAGAGAACGGCGGCGGGGCTTGCACGGCGGCGCGGAGGCCGCGGAGCTTGAGCTCCCAGGATTGGGAGGCGTGGAAGCGAGCGCCGCCGCGGCGGAGCCAGCGCAGGAGGAGGGCGTCCTGCGGGGACCACGGGCCCGCGAGGAGGGGGTCGGGGATGCGCATGTGGGGGTGGACGTCGCGGTAGAGCGGCGTCGGCCATGTGCCATTCTCGTCGTCGGCGTCGTCTTCGGCCAAGGCGAGGAGGGGCGCCGGCGGCGGGCGGTCGGCGGCGAAGCGCCGTGCCCACTGGGCCTGGGCCTCGAGGAAGGTCGCGGCGTCGGCCCAGCGACAGGCGACGAGGGCGGACTGGAAGGCCGGGTTGCCCGGGTGGAGGCCCTCCTCGATGGCGCGGCAGCGGGCGCGCTCGCCGGCGGTCAGCGAGCGGGACCAGTGGAAGCCGAGGGCGCGGCGCGTGTCGATGCCGTAGCCGGCGTGCCAGGTCGGGGCGAAGGCGGCGATGACGGCGCCGAGGAGGGTCGGGCGGCCGGAGAGGAGGCGGCCCAGAAGCGGGCTGCAGCGCGGGAAGGCGACGTTCTCGCTGAGGTAGAAGATGTGCTCGAGGATCTCGAGCGGCAGCTGGCGTTCGAGGAGGGACGTTTTCCGGGGCCGTCGATGCCGGAGGGGACGGGTCGGTTCTGACGAGGACGAGGCTTGTCTGTCGTAAGGGTGGGCTCTGTGCTTCTTCTTCTGCTGGGCGGCGCTGTTGCGTTTGCCGCGGACCTTGAGGGCTGTGAGGGGCATTGCTGCCTGTGGTGGTGATGTTGGTGAGAGATAGGGGTCAGGTGTGGGATGCTGGAGGGAGAGGATGTATATGACTATCGTAAGGGGAAAAAAATAAGCTGCCCAGAAAGTGATTTGGTTTCCATCCTTGGATTGTGGTTGAGTTCGCTTGGATGAATAAAGATGTTGCCTTAAAGTTCGGTTCGAAGAAAAATGAAGATGAATAGAGATTCATCAGAGAATTCAGAAGGGACGGATGACATATTTAGGCTGTCATCTCCACCGGAAGTTCCACGGCTTGCTTCATAACCAGAGAAAAGAGTCGTTTTTTCCTGTATGTACAGCTGCCAGCTTCAAAGGAGTCGAGCTGGCGAAAGCCAAGTTGACAATGACCAAAAGGTGCCAAGTCCAAGATGAAGTTGAAGAAAGGCATCACGATGGACGACGATGATGACTCAGCAGAGCACTCCATCATCAGTCACGTCCCTATACATGGTACATGGTACATGGTACATGTACCTCGTCCAAGTACCCAAGTACTGACCAACGGCCGAGCTCCCATTCCAGCTTCGCGACTTTTTTAACCATCTGATCCGTCAACTCCCGTCCCCCGCCACGAACCATTCACTGACCAAAGGCGCCTCAACGACCCTCGCCGGTCGGCTGACGCAATGAGCTCAGCACTTCGAGGACCGGTGCCTTCATTCCACCTGTTGCGCTTCTTGCGATCCCAGACCGAACACGCCTCGCCAGGCTCTCGATGCACCATCACATCATGCTCCAGACAGAGCTCGCCAACACCACGACGGCCGCCAAGATGCCTCGCCAGGCTGGAGACCCGACGCTCGATTTCCACACCATGTAGCCTTCTCGCCACCCGGCCCCTGCGGTCACGAACACAAGCATCAGTGCAGACACAGTCTACACTGATGAATGCCACGGCAGGCCTGCCATCAGCGACATGCTTCAGCACAACGAGCACGCGCCGGGAGAAGCAGGTCGACGACGCCGGCAAGACCGAGAGGGCACCCTCGTGGAAGGAGAAGCTCTGGGGCGTCGGTGCCAGGCGTGGTGCCAAGCCGCTCCAGCCCACCGACCTGCCGACCCACGACCAAGTTGGCGACGGCAGCTCCATGTTCAACTACCGCCGCATCCTCACGGCCAAGGCCGCCTCGGAACCCCGTCTGCGGTGTACCGAGGTCGACGAGGACGGCGAGGTCATCCTCGTCGATGGCGAGTTCAAGAAGACGGAGCTCATTGCCAAGGTGCGTCCTTTTGTCTCTCGACTACACTGCTCTTTCACATCCCCCCTCCCCTCACGCAGACTTTGACTGACAGAGATAGTACGGCCTGCTGCCTCGCGATCTGCGCAAGATTGACTCGTCCAACCTCCCCCACATCCTCGTCCGCCCGTCGGCCATCCTCCTGAACCTGCTCCACCTCAAGGTCCTCATCAAGAAGGACCGCGTCCTCCTCTTTGACATTTACGGCTCCAAGACGTCCTACCCGCAGTCGGCCTTCATGTACGACCTCCAGGGCAAGCTCAAACAAAAGATCCCCCAGGGCGGCGGCGGCGTCGGTGCCGCCGCCGGCCTGCCCTACGAGTTCCGCGCCCTCGAGGCCGTCCTGACCTCGGTCACGTCCCGAGCTCGAGGCCGACTTTGAGGCGGTGCGCGACCCCGTCATCCGCATCCTCAGCGAGCTCGAGGACGACATTGACCGCCACAAGCTGCGCGTGCTGCTGATCCTGTCCAAGCGCGTCAGCACCTTTGAGCAAAAGGCCAAGCTCGTGCGCGACGCCATCGAGGAGCTGCTCGAGGCCGACGACGACCTCGCCGCCATGTACCTCACCGAAAAGGCCCACGACCTGTACCGCGGCGAGGACGACCACACCGAGGTCGAGCTGCTGCTCGAGTCGTACAACAAGCTGTGCGACGAGATTGTGCAGGAGGCGCAGAATCTTGTGTCGAGCATTCGCAACACCGAGGAGATGTAGGTTCCCTGCTGCTCGCTTGTTTGTCGTTTCTTGTTTGTCGTTCCTTCTTTGTCGTTTCTTGTTTTGTTGCCTAGTCTGTCGTTCCTTGTTCGTCTCACCCGCATAGGCTAACCCCGACAGCATCCGCGCCATCCTCGACGCCAACCGCAACTCGCTCATGCTGCTCGAGCTCAAGTTCAGCATCGGCACGCTGGGCCTCGCCATGGGCACGTTCCTCGCGGGCCTCTACGGCATGAACCTCGAAAACTTCATCGAGGACACCAACTGGGGCATGGGCGCCGTGACGGGCGTGTCCGTCCTCTTCTCGCTCATCGTGTGCTGGTACGGCCTCATCAAGCTGCGCAAGGTCCAGCGCGTCAAGATGATGTACGACGAGCGCGGCGGCGGCGGCCTCGGCGGCAGCCTCGGGTCGCGGCAGCACTGGTTCAAGGACGACGGGCCGGCGCATCTGCTGCAGGCGACGAACCGCGAAAAGTTTCGTCGCCTGGCGGGGCAGAAGGCGGCCAAGGCGACGCGGCGGTGGATCTAGGCCGTTTCCGACTGCAAATCTTATGGGGCCGTTGAGAATTGATGCAAGGACATGTCATGAGACGGCGGGATACAAGACACTAGGATGCTACCAACAGAGAGACCAGCAGCCACAGCATATAGACGGCGTTTACGGTTCGGGGGCCCGGCACAGGCGCCGGACCTCCGTTGTACGACCAGCAGTGTCGAGCGAGGGCGCACGCACTCTTGTCACTTTTTGATCTGGAATTTGGACTGGAGTTTGGCGGCATCGGCAGAACATAATACCCAATAGACCGAGATGTCCTGGCGTTTCTCGCTGCACGTGCTTCTGCTATTTTGATGAGGGGTGCATTCTCGATGCGAGTTGTATCATGTCAATTCTGTCCATGGTGAGTAGTCAACAGTCATTTGACCGTCGCCTCATCAAGGGGTCCTGTTTCCATCTTGCGCATCATCTCGACGACAGGAAAAGACATGTCAGGTACAGAGATTGCCTGGAATTTTCCACCTGGATTTTCTACCTGAACAGAAGCCCTCCCGTACGGCACGCTGATTGACATGCTGCTTATAGGGATCTTGCGTCTGCCATTCTCTTGCAACCCACCTGACTCCTTCCAACTCGACCTCATGTCAGACGCTTGCCAGACCTTGAAGGGGTCCCGTATACAGTGGAATCCTACAATGCGGAGCCACGCGATCTGTCGCTAATCAGCTTCGTGTTATACAGAGGATTGCAGTGTACTTAAGCCCAGGGAGGTCTTTAGAGGTTTATATATAAAGTTCGTCTTGGTTGGTTTTAGTATAGAGAAGGCCCGATTTTCATTCACATTCTTTGTCCGCAATCCTTACTATCGAATGGTATTTCCAGTACTAGGCCTTCCTCATCTAGAGTAGTGAATAGTATTCTCTTGAACATGGCTAAATCGAGTCATCATACTAGGTAGTCTAGCAAGGTAGGTAGGTTGGGTTGGTAAGAGGATCACCTGAAGTATCGTGATCCAGCCACAGTCACGTGAATGATATTATTAGCACGTACGACTGTGAACGGTCGCACGCGGCATGTCCCGCTGGTGTCCATGACGATTTGGTGGGGTGTTACATGCCTTGGTAGCCTCGGTAGTCTTAAGCACCTTACCTACCTACCTAGTCTTCAGTGACTTGGGTACCTAGTTACGGGACTATATCTATATCTCTAGCTCATAGAATACCATGTCATGACTACGTTACCCTCTAGTACCCTCAGTTCCTGAGCAGTTCCTGAGGCTCAGGTGGACCCAATAGTCAGCTCAGGTTGGTCTTGATGGTCAGGTGAGTTGAATTTTCTCATTCAACCATTATCCCAGGGACTTTACCTACCAGTACCTAGTTATCCAGAGTGCATATCCGGGATTTGCATCCTTCACCACTCAGGCATCCATGGAAGCAGCGGGTTTCGCGATAGGCCTCGTCGGGCTCGCTGGACTGTTCAGCTCCTGCATCGAGGCTGTCGCACGGGCGCATAGCTACAAGTCCTTCTCGAGGGACTCGCAAGCACTCAATCTCCAGTTTAGCGCTGCCAAGCTTCGGCTTGAAACGTGGGGCCCCGCCGTAGGTTTTGCTGGCGCGGGAGCCATCGCCGCCGCTGGAGATGAGAGACGAGGCCCCGCTCCATCACCCGGCGCTTGACGATGAGCGGATCCAGCGTGCCGCCGTCGAGATCTTCGGCTTGGTCGAGCAGATATGCGAGGAAGCCACGAGTGCCGGCAGGTTGCGCTTGGACACGGCCGCCGACTCATCAGCGTCGCGCGACCCATGTCTGAAGCCGAGCGGCGGTGGTGCCCGGCGCAAGCTGTCTTGGGCCATGGGGGGCAGATGGAGGCGCACGGAAAAGCTTGAGCTGTTCAAGGAGCTGGTGCAGACGCTGTACAACCTCGTGCCGCCAGACGACTACGACGCAGGCCGGCCAGTCGCCAGCGCCTGGTCAACCGAGTTTGGCCGGATCATGTCCCGTCTGGAGGCCTGGGCCCGCCAAGACGTCCACGCGTGGCTGCGTCACATCCCGGGCGAACGATATCATGACTCGTTACAGCGACGCCTGGATGGCACCTGCGTCTGGATGCTGAGCGAGTCGCTCTTTCAGCAGTGGATTACATGGGAGCTTTCGCCAGGCCCCAGCATCCCTATGGCTTCATGGACCTGCCGGCTTTGGCAAGACGATCATGTGCGCCAACATGATCCAACACCTCACTGCTACGCTCGCCACTCCCACGGCACACTTCTTCTTCTCGTCAGACGCATCCAGCAGCCGCGACGACCCATTTCTTGCCATGCGATCTTGGGTCTCTCAAGTTATCTCGACCCACGATGGGGCGTTCCAGCTGGCCCTGTGCTTGCTGAAGAACGGGAGGTATTCGGCTGACGACCTGGACTTTGGGCGCTCCTCCGCATGTAGACACGCTTGCGCTTTCGGCTTGACGTCCGTCCTTGAAGTCATGATCGGGCTGGGCGCCGACCCATGCTTCGTAGACACTGTAGGAACGACTCCCCTCAGCTTAGCATCAAGCAGCAAAACATCGAGGCAGTCAAGATATTGCTCCAGAAACAACGCCAGTGCCCTGATGGCGAGCAGAGTAGACGCGTCTACGCTCTACCAAGCGTCAAGGTACGGGCCAGCAGACATGGTACAGCTTCTTCTTGACAACCATGCCGTCGCCACAATCAACGACGCAACCACAGAGGAAGTCACTCCTCTTCACGTGGCGTGCATGAACGGACACGCAGATATCGTGCGACTGCTGCTGCGCCATGGAGCGGATTCCTCCAGAAGATGTAGCACACACCTGACGGCATTCGGGCTGGCGGTGTACAACGGTTCCGCGGAGATTGTTCGCATGTTTCTCGAGTTTGGTGCCAGCGCGGAAGGCTCTGATGATGACGACTTCTTTCCTGTGCATCTGGCTGCGCAAGCTGGCCACCTCGACTTGCTCCACCTGCTCATCAGTCACGGGGCTGATGTTTCTGCGAGGTCCAAGACAGGGCGAACGACTCTCTACTTGGCAGCCGCGGGCGGAGAGATGGCCGTCGTCAAGACTCTGATCGAGATGGGTGTCGACGTGAACGCCCGAGACCAGTTTGGGCACACAGCCCTCGTGGCATCGGCCGACATTGGTCACTTGGAAACAGTGACGTATCTGCTTGCGCACGGCGCCTGCTGTCATGCTGTCAGTAAAAGAGGGGGCACGGCATTGTCGGCGGCGGTGCGTTCGAATAATGCCAGCGTCGTAAGGGCGATACTCCAGCACGGCAGCCCATCTTCCTCGAGCGAGCGTCACGGGTGCCGTCATGGAGAAAAGTCGGCATCGGATCAAGATGTCGACGGGCTACACGGCACTTCGGACATGCTCGTACTCGAACCGGCCCAGATGATCAACACCATGAACACACACCATGGCCGTGGCAACGCACCAGTTCATCTCGCGGCGCACCACAACAGCTTGGAACTATTCGAGCTATTGCTGGATCACGGAGCGGACAGAATGCAAGCCGACGGAATAACCGCCTTACATACGATTGTCCAGTTGAACTACCTGGACCTTGCCAAGTCTTTGTTGCGGCGTGGAGTCCATGTTGATGGTGGCAGGGTGCACAAGGCCATTCATTATGCAGTAATGGAAGGTCGAACAGAGATGGTCAAGCTACTGCTCGACTCCGGGGTCAGCATCGAAAGTACCGACGCATTAGGAAACACGGCTCTGAGCTGGGCAGCAAAGAACGGCAATCTGGACTTGATTCGACTCCTTCTCGACCACGGAGTCGATCACGCAGCCGCCAACGTGAACGGAACGACTGCGTTGCATACCGTGTCGCAGAATGGCCATACAAATTGTATTGGGCTTCTCCTGGATCACGGTGCGAATCCCACAGCCGCCGATTCTATCGGAGTCACCCCGCTGCACTACGCGTCTAGGCACGGTCACCCAGACGCCGTCAGGTTGCTCCTGGATGCCGGGGCTGCCGTCGATGCCACCGGGACGGACGAATGTCCCCAGACGCCACTGCATACGGCGGTCATCGCGGGCCGGGTCGACATTGTGAAACTGCTTCTCGACAGAGGAGCGGATGTCACGAGACGCCACGCCGAAGGGCCGTTGCCGTTGTACTCGGCAGCCTCGCATGGCCATCTCGAAGTGGCGCGGGCTCTGCTCGACGCGGGGGCGCATGTCGGTGCTGCTGGAGGCCATTCAGCGGCAGGCTGGCCCGCTCTTCTCGCTGCGGTGCATTTCGATCATGAGGCCGTCGCGCGGCTGCTTCTCGAACGCGGCCTGGCGTATTGCGACAGCTGCTTGCGAGACGTGCCTGACGGTTCGGGTGAAGAGTGCGCGCGCTGCGGCCATGTTTTGTTTTATCTGTGCGCCGAGTGCTTTGGAAGGGGTTGCGGATGTAGACCCGAAGCACGAGTTTTGGCCTCCGACTCGGCGAAAAACAGAGGGCTTACGGAGGCTATAGCAGGAAAGGGAGGTATTAGGACCTCGCAGGCTTTAGGCGAAGAAACACTGCCAGAGGGTTGATTCATGGCAGAGGTTAGGTCGTGACTCTGGCGATGGGTCGTAAGGCGGATACGCGTTATAAGGATATAGAGGAAGACTTGGATTGAGTGCTATCATGAGCAAGACTATATACAAGTACAGAATGTCTATCCTTTTTGTTACGGATGCGAGCAGTGCAGCGTAGCTCCTACACCAAAGGTCGAGCCAACCCAGGTCTTCACAGTTCATGACTCTGCTATCAAGGCCATTGACTCTATATAACTAAGAAGGCGTGTAACACTTTTATCTGTCGATCCCGTCCTTGTTGGTTAGCTACGAGGCCATGTTGAATGGCCCACTGTGAGTTCAATATAAAGCAAGATAATATACTAGCAAGGGAACAGTTAAGCCGCACGCCAAATACAGGTATCATCCAGAAAGACCCCAACTACGGAACCCTCTCGGCACGTCGCACCTCAAAATTGCTCTGGCATTTCATAGACTAGATTTTGGCGACACCTTCAACGGTCAATGTACTTTTATTAGTTTTGAGCTGATGTACAGTATGGTGGAACGGTTCAAAGGAGCTCACCTCTAAGGAGTGGCTTTTTTATCCCCCCACTGGATCGAGTACTTGGAGATAATCCTACATAAGTATATTCACTACGAGGACGCTGTCTTGGTAGACGGCGGCACTAAACAACCTTGACACCTACCTCGGACACGAGCACATGGTAGTCAATCGACCCACAACCACTGACGGCGTCCTGTCAAGATGCTGCTAGCTCGGAGCCGGCTGGCTATTTTCGGCTGGCTATTTTCGGCCAGCCATTTTCGGCCAGCCAGAACGTGGCGGGAGCGTGGACGGTCCTACTCTGGACTCTCGTCACCCCCAGCGCATCGCATGGGCACCCGCGGTGCATCAGACGCAACGACGACGACATGACATGGCCCAAAGAGGCGCCTCCGAAGCCGAATCGTGTTTTGCGAAATGGCCATGGACGAGCCGCATACGTCACAGACTTTGTGGATGCAGGACCATGTCATGCGATACGCTGGACGGCTACGGCTGGCTGACCCCCGCCAGATAAAAGGAAGAACCTGCTTTGGGAGATTTTCTGACCAGGACGGGCTCCTCTCCCGGTTACGGTGCAGCGTGTGGACGGGCTCCTCTCCCGGTTACGGTGCAGCGTAGCGTTCTGGCCCTGGCGCCACACTTCATCTCGGTGCGTCTGCTCCGGATGTGGAGCTTGTCGGGATCAAGGGCCAATGGAGTCCGGATTGGTCCCCACAAGGCTGTCTGTGGCTCGTTAACGTTACTGTGGCGCCGTGACGTCAGGCGGCGATCCATCCATCATGCATCATGACGATCCATCGCTGCATGTCCATGTCTCGTGCGACGTGATGCGTGGTGTGTGCTGTGTGCTGTGTTCGTGGGTTGGTGCCTCGGGGGTCTCTGCATGGCATGGGCTCGTGCGGTGAGGTCAAGGTGTGGGAGATTGGGCTGCCGTGTGACCGTGTGACGAGCGGCTGGCGGTTGGCTGGCTGGCTGGCCGTCTTTTTGTCCTTTTGCTCTCGTATATAAGACCAGCTTCCTTCCTTCTGTTGCTCTCAGCATCAACAACAACGCCAACCACTACCACCAACACATCAACGCCAGATTCCGTGTCTACTCCGACAGCGGAAATACAATCACCACCTCTTCCACACCACCACACAAGACACCTGCGCCACAGCGCCTGACCTCATCATGGGTGCCGTCGTTTCTTGCGTAAGTTCCTGCCCCTCCTGTAGCCCCTCTGCTGTAGCCCTCTTGGCTGTAGCCGGCCCTTCTGCATGGCCCGGCACAGCAAACTAACCCGCCCAAGATCCAATCCGTCTTCCGCACCATCGGAAACTGCCTCACAGCCATCGTCACCGGCATCGGCAACATCCTCCACGCCATCATCGGCGGCATCGTCTCCTTCTTCAACATCATCATCTCGTGCCTCACCTGCGGCCGCGGCGGTCGCAGGCGCGGCGGCGGCACCAGGAGCAGAGTCTAGCGCGCCCCATCTGCCCGACAAGCAACGAGGTCCCGAGTGGAAAGCAACGACGCGCGCTGTGGGGCAAGTCGTTGTGTAGCCTGGCCTCGGCAGGTGGGTGTGGACGAGTCACTCTGAGGGACTGCAGGAAGCTCTGCGGTGGGAGGACGCTCTGGGACAATGATGCCATGTCTGCCCTGTGCCACGGCTTGTGGTGTTTTTTGTCTTGTTTTGCGATGCGATGGTTGCATACCGATACCCCTAGCCTAGTCTAGTTTGTTCTGCAATCCCATCTTTACCATGCTTTGCTTTTTGCTGCTGACAATGTCGTCTTTACCATGAATTGGAGGGTGCCACTGGACGTGACTATGTTGGTCTCGACAATTCTCAGTGGAGTGTTGATTGGAAGCATGCAACTAGTGAAGCCTTGAACATGATTGTCTTGTCGAGTGAGCCCATAGTCATGGCTTTATCGTACATCACCTCGCCTCATCTTCTACAAGAACGCCAATGGTTTAAACCCTCTCATACTTCCTCAGTGTCGTTCTGAAATCCAACCGACTCAATCGCCCGCCACGTTATCATCACATCATGCTACACCTGAACTTTCGAGCTCCCCTGTTCTAGACGAGTAGCAGCTCGGCCTCTCGTTTCTCTGACCATGCATCCACATCACCGGGCCCTCAGTCCTCCACGACATTGCGGTTGAAGAAGCCGAAAATCTTGCGCCCCGCCTCCCGCCCGACGAGCGGCGCCAGCTCGCGCTCGCTCATGTTGGCCACCTCGCGCACATTGTCCGTCGCCAGCACGAGGCTCTTGATGTTCTGCGGCGTGACGCCCGGCACGACGGCCAGCATGTCCTGCGGCTCGCGGTTGAAGCTCTGGTCCTCGGCGCGCGCGTCGCGGTCGAGGCCCGCGCGCACGGCGGCGATGGGGTCGGGCTCGTCCTCCTGCGTCTTGAGCGACGCGAAAATCTCGGCCGTCTGGTACGGCGAGCTGCTCCAGATGACGCGCAGGCGCGGGAACGCCAGCGTCAGCAGCACGAGCTTGGACTGCAGGTCCGACGACACGTTGGTCGGCGCCACGCTGCTGAGGCTGGCCGAGAGGTCGGCGAACGGCTCGAGCGTGAACGACTTGTGCTGGTCAAACTCGATGAGCAGCATGGCGCTCTTGTAGTGCTGGAACATGGTCTCGGCCTGCGTGTACAGCCGCCCGTCGCGGAACGACGAGATGAGGTCGCTCACCGACTTGCGCTCCACGCACATGGTCGGCGACAGCACGTAGTCGCCCACCGTCAGCATGCACGGCACCACGACCATGTTGCGCCCGTGCAGCAGCGACGGCAGCGACGACCGGAACTCGCGCACGTCGACCACGACCCGCGGCGGCTGCGCCGTCGCCGCGAGCCGCCCGCCCCCCGCGATGCGCGTGTTGACCGTGCGCAGAAACGTGTCCTGCGGGTCCTCGACGCCGCGCTCGTCCGTCGTCATGACCATCGACATGCTGGCCCGCTCCTTGATGACCTTGGTGAACGCGTCCTTCTCGCGCCGCACCCCCGAGAGGTACCGCTGCTCCTCGACCGACCCGCCGTAGTACATAAAGTACACCCGCACGTTGCGGTCGTTGTGCGACGACCGGTACACCTCGACGCGCCGGATGAAGCTGGCGTCCGGCTCGTACATGATGATGTACCGCGGCTTGACCTCCTCGAGCACGTGCTCGTCCTGGTCGCCGTCGTACGCGTGGATGACGACGAGGTCCTGCATCTCGTACAGCTGGTAGTAGTCGTCCATGTCCTCGAGCGGATCGGCCACGACGTCGGCCTTTTGCTGCGCCTCCTCCTCCGTCGTCATCTGCACCTCGGCAATGAGGTCGGCGACGTCTGACGGCTTCTCGAAAAACGCCGCGACGCTGCCATTCTCCGTGCGACCGTAGGCGTTGCCGCCGAGGGCACCGCCGCCGCGGACGCGTCGTCTCTTGTTCGCCGGCGCCTTGCCCCGCAGCGGCTGGCCCGATCGCGCGTCCGTCGCGCCGTTGAGCGCCTTTTGGTTCTCCGAGAACAACTTTGCGCTGACCCTCGCAAACTCGCCCTTCCACTTGAGATAGTTGCGCAGCTTTCTCCTCATCATGAAGGCGCCCGAAACATCGAGGCCGTCGTTGCCGCTGCCCCCGTTCTCTTCTTCGTCTTCCGCCGCGCCTGATGCCGCAGCAGCCGCCGTCGTCGTCTGGTCCACCCTCGGCTTGACGTGCATCGTCTGCACGTAGTCGCGCAGCTGCTTGCACGTGCTGGCGTCGGAGCACATGATGAGGATGGAGCCGCTCGAGTCGTCGCGCACGGGGGGCTCAAAGTAGAGGGCACGGTCAATCTCGTCGAGGACCTCGGCGAGCTGGGCCCACTTGGGCAGCTCCTCGAGGACGGGCCGCAGGGCGTCAATGTCGGCGCCGGCGCCGGCAGCGTTGGCGGCCCTGGGGCTCGCCGCGTAGACGCGCTTGCGCGCCGTCTCGAAGATGGTCTGGGCGGCGTCGAGGAAGAGCCACGGCGACTGGTTCTGGCGCGTGGAGCCGGGCGGCGGCGAGTGGGCGGCGTGGATGGTGTCGAGGTGCTGCAGGAAGGAGACGGCGTCAAAGGAGAGGACCGAGTGCAGTATGCCGCGCAGGACGGACAGGTCGTGGACAATCTGACGCGTCTTCCAGCTGACGCGGTGCCAGTTGGGCTCGAGCTGGCGGCGGACCATGACGTCAAAGTTTTTGAGGAGGGCGCTGTCGAGGTTCCAGTCGTCCATCTCGAGGCCCGTGTTGCCCTTTTTCAGCTCGTGGATGCTGACCTCGACGCACTCCATGATGGCGTTCTGAATGTCCTTCATGGCGTCCGTCATGGGCACCTCGAGCTCGATGACCTCTGCCTTTTTCTTGCCCTCGAGCGACTCGGCGACGGTGACGTGGAAGCGCGGCCACAGCGAGGCCTTTTTCAGAAACAGGTTGCGCATCATGGTCGACAGCGGCGAGAAGCCCGTGGCAAAGGGGTCGGGGTTGTCGGAGAAGGCCTTGAGGAAGCCGGCCCTGTTCTTCTGGCGGTAGATGCGCAGGATGAAGGCCTCGAGCGACGTGGCGACGACGCGGTCGGCGTGCAGGACGACCAGGCCCGTGACCGTCTCGGGGTTGAGCAGGCTCGTCAGCAGGTCGACGATGAGGATGCGCGACGTGATGCTGAAGATGCCGCCGCGGGCGTACATCTTCTCGCGGGCGCCGACGCTCGTCAAGTCCGTGTTGACAACGGTGAGGCCGCGGGCCTTGGGCGACATGCTGATGGCGGCGTGCTCAGCGAGGGCCTCGCCGATCCAGGCGTTCTCGCGGTCCTCGGCGCCGACGATGATGATCAGGTTGTTCCCGGCGGCATCGTAGGAATGGAGCAGGTTCGTGACCAGGCGCATGAGGCCGAGGCCCTTGGCCATGACGACGAGTTCATCGTCCGACCGAAGCTCCTGGAACAGGGTCTGCTGGTACTCCTGGCGTCACGGTCAGCATCTGACGGAAGAACCAGGAGAGAAAAAAACGGAGTGCTCACAAGGGGCAGTGAGAGCTTCACCGGCTGGGGGGCATTTGCCGACATGCAGGGCACAGCTTCTCAGCATGCTGGGGAAGGGGCTCGATCGATGAAGATGTCTGAGATGCCGATGCAGGTCATACCCAACAGAAGCAGACGGCAGGGCGAAGCGAGGTTGTCGTCTCAGTCGAGCTCGCAATGGCCATGTGCTTTGCTGTGTGCTGTTGATGCTTTCCACTTGATGTGTGCTGCCTGGTGCCTGGTGCCTGGAGTTGTTGAGTGAGAGACGGCACGAGGCTGTTGTGGCGCCACAAATCGATGACCAACATGGTGTGGCGTCTTGAAACTCGGCGCAGACGAGCATCAGCCACAGGTGGAGCAGCAGCCTCGTCTTGCTCCTGCTCCTGCTCCTGCCACTGGCAAACACCAAGTTCCTCGATCTCTTCAATACCGAAGCTGCTCAACTCTGTCGATTCCGTCGACGATCTTTGCTGCGCCATCAAGCAAGCCATGTGCAGCGATCACGCGATACCGCCACGTTCCCGGCTCGGGCTGTTGCCGACGCCAGTCACCGGCAGTTACCAGTTACCAGTTACCATAACCTCTCCCACGTCCCCATGCCACCCCCATCATGGCGAGCGTTATACCCCCGCCTTCGACATTGCCAAAAAAAGCTTCGCCTTCAAACTGCCGTATCTAGATGGATCGTCACCAGGTTGGACGGATGCAACACACAATCGGAGCCGCACCATCTCCGAATGCCATGGCGCCATCCTGTGACAGCCGCTCGGTATTACTTTGAGACGACGTCTCTCCCATCCTTCCCCCTTCCCCCCCACGACTCGGGGACTGTCCACGGGCTCCGGACCCTGTCGAAGCGCCTGTCTTTCCTTTCTCTCTTTCTTTTATCTTGCCTCTCGGGGACCTGAACAAGCCAGGACAAGATTGTCGTGATAGTCAGGGTCCGCCTCATACATCTGACACACATACAGCCCGCTGGCATCGTCGACCCAACCATACGCCAGATGATCCCCCGAGCTAACAGGTCACCCACAAACTATCAAGAATGACGAACCTGATGGTCAGCAGAACCGTGTCCCCAAGCAACAAGCCAGGCAGTCTGTCACCCATCGATCAGTCAGTCCTGCATGCCGTGTCTTGCATCGGCCGGCTGTTCAATGTTTCGGCCCACCAAGAAGCTCAGGGACCGTGGCCTCCTCTTTTCCCGTCCGCCAAGGCCCAGACAGACAAGAGTGCGAGGCCCCATATCGCGGGGCACTGTCAGACTGGTTGAGAGGTAAGGGGACGAGACATTGTCTCGACAGCTCTCGCAAGGCCCAGCACCAGAAAGCTGAACCTTCCAGCTGGGCCGGCCACCACGCAGCCACTCCTCGTCCCAACATGTCAACGCGAGCGCCGGCCCCAGCTTCCGACGCCTGCTCGTACCGCCAAGCAACCAAGGGCCTGCAGGAGATCGTCGGATGATGCTGTCCTGGTTCATGTGCGATGGACGTTCTGGCAGGCTGGACGTGACCTGGGTTGCGTCCACCCCCTGCAACCACGCGTCTGGCGCGCCTTGTGTTGGCGCTCAGCCCGCGTCCTTCCTTCATGGTCGCCCACCCGCTCCCCCATCTTGGCGCCTTTTTGTTGTCTTTCGCCTGCCTCACGAGAAAAGAGTCGAGTTCGCTCGGGTCATGGTATCGCTATCGTCGAGACCGAGAGAAACAGCTAGCCGTCGCTACACAACAAACTAGACCCTGCGGC